TTTTGGGTAAAATTACAGCAGGCTACGACTTCGTATAGTAAACTATTACGATATTACGTACTGGATGGACTAAATATTTGCTTGCACTCTTTTCATGCTAACACCTCAATTCTCGGTACACTCACACGGTCTCTGAAGGCGGCCAAGTGTACGAAGCCGAAAGCTCAGACTAATACAAGTGTTGTCCCTGTGAGTGGGTCTCCGTCTCTTTTGCAATATACTGCATGGTTTCGAAAAAGAAGTCGAATACAAATATTGGTAAACTGGGGGAGAGGCGGGGTAGATATAATAGCCAATTTATTCTTTGAAACATTAATTTACCCTGTAAAATGTAATTTCAGTTAAGAAGGATCACTTAACTGGCTACTTAGTATTATGTATAAAATCGACATTCAAATGTACGTATGTTCGTTCGCTTGTAACAATTACGCTATCTACTAAAACGTCTGCATATGTTGTTTGTATATTTATCAATATGTATTGGTGGCCTTGCTCATTGAGGTACAATTTGCATTACACAGGGTGTTACAAAAATGTATACACATTTTAAATAATTGTAAACTTGGTGTTTATTATAATTTTATTATTTCAAAAACGTAAAAGTATTATCAGATATCATTTTATTGCTTTTTCACTGCACTTTTACTATTGCAACAGTGGCTGAATTGAGAGAAGCCGCAGAAGATGAATGCACTCGAATTCCAAGGGAATTCTTTTATAGCATGCGCGATTCCATTTCTTCGCGTTGTCTACAGTGTCATGATCAAAATGGGCGTCAGTTTGAGAACATTAAGTGAAAAAAAATAATATTTAATGATAAAATTATGATAAAAACCAATTTTACAACTAGGTTAAATGTGTATGCATTTTTGGGACACCCTGTATATGCCAAAAATATCAGTTCGTGTACGACAACTTACGGCATTTATGAATTTGTTGCTTTACACGTGAATATGACTCCGTCAAAAAGGTGCATTATTTTCTAATCGTTGAGAACGTGAAATGTTCACATAGGGTTTGCCCTCTATATAGTACTTCATTTTAAATCTGCAACATGTCCATGGGCTGAGCGGTATAAGACACTTCCCTCATTGTTTAGAGGAACGCATTTTTGCCGTTAAATAGAAAGTGTGCAAATCATATCTTGAAATCCAAAATGCATATTGAACAACCTGTGGAATTAGAATCTTTATGAGAATTAAAGTACATCTTTTCGAACTGGAAAATAAAATTTATTGCCAATACAGGCGAACATGCGAGTCCCAGGAAGTAATCAAAAGGATGATGAATCGACCGCTGGAACAATAATATTTATCCGATAAATACCTTTGTACACACAATTGTCTACAAAGAATGTATAAAGAACGCATTTTTGCACGCAGTCTATGAAATATGTTTTGATTTAAAAGGGCAATGAAAAGTAATAAAATAAATTACACTGGTGATGTTATTGTTTTTAACGATCGTAATCTCTGAAGGCGGCCAGAAGACGTTTACTCAAAAGGAGATTTTAGGGCATGCATAAAATATTTTGGGATTATCTGGCCTCATATTCAATACCTAAAGATAAACTAAGTAATGTTTTCCAGTTTTAATCATATTTAGACATTTTATTACGTTTTCTTGAGCTACGCCATCTACAGCAATTTCTTAAAGTTGCCTACCAGTATAAATGAAAGTTAACGATGTATGTACCTTAGAGACGAAGTACAACTTAAGTATAACTTTTTATTGGTCTATCACTCAAGAAGTACATTATTTGTTATCTTACAATTAGGCAACCTGGCAGAAAAATATATGACCTATAAACCGTAATGCTTGAAGATTAAAAAGGATACAGAGGATGAAAGTTTAAGGTGAGTTGACCGTTCAGCATACCGGAAAAGATCAAGGAAAGAGTCCAGTGTGCTGGTGACACGCTTGTTGACTGTTCCAACTTCGACAGTCTCCTTAATTGACGTAGAGCCCGGATGAATGCTGATCACCAACACGATACCAAGGATTACGGCCAGTGCGGTTGTCATCACATAGTAGATCATTGCGTAGGAGCCGATCTTTCCACTTGACTTAGCATCTAAGCCGGCGAGTCCTTTTAAAACACAATAATATGCATTTGCGTAATTTAGAGAAAGTTATCCGTGACTGCTGATAATTGCAAACAAGTCAAAGTAATACTTTCCATGCAAACTAAGAATAAAAGAGTGTTTTTGTAAAAATTTAAAGTGAAATATTGCATAGATTAGTGCGTTACATTTACTCGCTTGCAGTAATTGCCCAGGTGATAAACTTCTTAATATATATGGAATTATTTGATCGGAATCTACACGCCAGGCGTTTAGACAAGCACTCAACCTACGCTTACCTAGGCTGAGCTCCGCATTTTCATATCCGCATCCTAACACGTACTATAAGATTAATAAGAGGTAAACACGACACACTAGGATACGCTCCCCATCCATACTCTGACAGGATTACAGCACACAGTAGATGACCTGGTACATCCAACATTGTGATCTAGATAAGATCGAATCGTCTAAAGGACATTCAGCCT